AGTTTTAAAAAAACATTTACTGTTGCCTTGTTTATAAGAAATGAGTACACACCTTTGTTTTATACACAAAAAGCAATGCAGATTACATTTAATTCGTTTAAACAAACAGAAATAAAACTATAAAAATAAAATTTCTTTAGTTCAATACAAGATTGTTTGCTAATAGCTTATTTAAGAGGAACGGATAGACATATATCCTTTTATGTAATTTATAGTTCATTTTGAAATTGATTTGTCATATCCACTCTTTTTTTAAATAACCAAGAATTAAAAAAATACCCTGAAGAACATAGATTTTTTCTTGGCCAACCTTAAAAACATATTTGAAGTACCTCAATCGAGGGTATGAACAGCTGGGGCCAAGTGAAGCGCTGGGAATACAGTTGCATAAATTTATTGAAATTTGCATTTCGGTTTTCGACGTTTTCGCGGCTGATGTTGCTGCTGCTGCCCCGCTGCTGCATTTTCTGCGCCGCCGAGGTTTGGCCTATAAAAAATATGGCATCGATTGATCGCAACGCAAGATATTTCAATTAGCGTAAATACATTTTTGTCGTTGTTGGATGGGGACAATCGGACCGACAGACGGACGGATGGACGGGGACACGCACAGCGCTCCATGAAAGAGAAATCGATGATGTTCGGAAACAGAAACGGACAGACGACCCAATCGACCCAGTCGGAGATACATTTTTGTGCCGTACGATGCGTAGATTAACTTATGGTCGTGTCGCCGTTAATAATGCCCGCTGATAACGAGCCGGCGATCTATGCAAATTTCCCTACTCGTTAGTCAGAGACAAATATAGGCAGGCACTCGATTTGGAATAGGAGCGTGTGTGGGGTGGGATTGTCAGCGATTTCTTCCCAGGATCGGTCTGTTTCTCTTACAAATATATATATATGTATATTGCAAATCAGGCGAACGCGATATATCGTCGTAGATGGAGGCATACAGGTGCGGCTTGCAGGTTTCATTAGGGATCCTCAGGCGTTATGGTTACATGCATCTGCTTTACGCCTCGCAGGATCACCATGTCCAGGTTTTGCTATTGTCCGCCAGGGCATCGTACACATCCGAGGAGTTCTTGATCTCCTTCTTGTTGATGTGGGTCACTATGTCGCCGGGCTGCAGGCCACCACTGGAATGGAGATGGGATACATTTTAGGATTAATTTGTGCATATAATTAGCTTGTAGCTTCTTATATCTTTCAAAATCCTTCTGAGGTATAAAACAAGCAGATATTGACCCACCTGTGCGCCGGTGACCCCACGATGACCTTCCACACGAGCACGCCATGCGTGAGATTGCTGGGCATGTTCTGGCTCCTCGACTTCAACTCGAACAAGATGTCCGGCGTGAGCGTCAGCATGGTGATGCCCATGTAACGCTTCACCGGATAGCCGGTCTTGTAGGCCGAGCCCTTCTTGCGCCGCTCGGCAGCCCGCTCCAGAAAGACCTTCACATAGTCAATGGGTATGGCGAAGCTTATGCCAGCGGTCACCTTCATCGAGTTAACCCCAATTGCCTCGCCGTCCAGATTGACCAAGGGTCCGCCGGAGTTGCCAAAGGTGATGGCAGCATCCGTTTGCAGATAGTTTATGTCCCTGTTGCGAAGACCAAGTTCTTGGGAGGCGCGCTGCGTGGAGCTGATGACGCCAGCGGTCACGGTGTTGCTTAGGGCCAGCGGGCTGCCCAGGGCCACCACCCACTCGCCGGAACGCAGGGTACTGCTCTTGCCCAGACGCATCACCGAGAGATTGTTGACCTGTTGGAATAGATAGGTCATGAAATAAACGTTTTTCTGGGCCTTAAAGAAGTCATTCACCTGTATGCGCAGCGTGGCCAGGTCCGAGGTCTGATCCACGTCCTCTATAGTGGCGGGAAAGGTCCTGCCGTCGGACAGGCGCACCTGGACCATCGTGTGCGGCTTGTTGATCACCACATGGGCGTTGGTCAGAATGAGGCCGTTCTGTTCGATGATGAAACCGGAGCCATTGGAGGCCGTGATCGGCTGGCCGCTGAAGTAGTCAAAGTGGCGGGTGTCCTTGATCTCGATGTAGACCACCGAGTCCGCACATCCCGCCACCACATCCGCTATAAAGTTGAAGTCCCGCCGCCGGCCGCTCATCTTGGAAGCGGCGATCGTGGGCGTGAGATCCTCGCGCTGGATAACCACCGCACTGACCACGGCGCCCAGGGAGAAGGGCACAAAGAAGCGCACCAATCTCCGCCAGCCTTTCTCTTTTTGCCCGCCATTTTGCCGATCTTGCCCACTGTCACTGTTACTTCTTGGATCGTCGTCTTTAATCGTTACGTGGCTGCTTGTCCGCTTGGGGCGTGGCCGTGGAGCACCGGGGATGCCAGGCAGCGCCTGAGGATCACTTCCAGGCGGTGCGAACCGCGCAAAGCCATCGATTTCTGTGATTATTTCTAGTTTGTTATTGTTATTTAATTTCTCACTTCTCAGCTGGCAGCTGTTTTCAATTTGGCACACTGCCACACAAGCTGCCTACTGCGACACCCACGGCTATCGACAGGCGATAGGCAGTGCGAACAGCTGTTGGCCGCTATGCTTCTTCTTGGCATTAGAGGTGAACGTTTGGCTTTTCTTCACGAGAATTTGGCTACTGGGCATTTAAACAGCTTTCATTGGAAAGAAGGCAATCGAATTATCAGATGCTCAAATAGTATTACTATTCAAAGGCCTGCTTGTTTCAAAGTGTTATATATTTGGCAGGGACCAAAAATAAAAAGTAAGTGAAATACTATCTAGCTATTTATAGCTAGGTAATCAGCACTGCCACAGATGTTGCCGCTGCTTCTTCTTCCTCCCACCAACACATTCGCTTTGCATAACAGTTGCAGTCAATTGTTTAGTTAAAATAAATCAATTAAAATGTCCAAGGCGGCGGGCAAACTGAAATCCCTGAAAAAGACAGTGGAACGTGTGACGCACACGAGCAAGCTGAAGACGAATATTCCCGCGGGAATGGCCGCTGCGGGACCGCCATTGGGACCAATGTTGGGACAGGTGAGTACGCCGGTATTAAATTTGAAATCTTATTAACTATATCCCATTTTTTATCCCCCAGAGGGCCATTAACATTGCCGCCTTTTGCAAGGACTTCAATGCCAAAACCGCGGAAATGAAGGAGGGTGTCCCACTGCCCTGCCGGATATCCGTGAACAGCGATCGCAGCTACGACCTGGTCATCCACCATCCGCCGGCCACCTTCTTCCTGAAACAGGCAGCGGGCATTCAAAGGGGCACCATGACGCCCGGCAAGGAAGTCGCCGGCATGATCACCCTCAAGCATTTGTACGAGATTGCGGCGATTAAGATTCAGGATCCACCCAATGCCCTGCTCACCATGCAGGTATGTCTTCCCAAAACTAGAAACACCTACTCATTCGATGTACTTTACCATAATATATCTTCCAAAAACTGGAGTTACACTCCTTACTCCTTACACCAAACGGTATTAGGCCCATTCCTACGTTCTATTTTGAATGTACAACTCATTTTCATCATATCTGTAATAAACCAAGTAACTTTGATTCTTCGATTCGATTATTCTATTTTCTCAAAGTATTTCTAAACCATTAACGTTTTCCTTTTTTTACAGCAAATGTGTGAGATGCTCATCAGCATTGCCCGGACCTGTGGCATCAAGGTGGTCAAGGAAATAGATCCGGCGGCCTATGGAGAGTTCCTGGAGGAGCGCAAGACCATTGTGGAGCAGCAACGGCGCGAGTTGCAGGAGAAGCGGGAGGCCAAGATGTTGCGCACGGGCTAGGTTTGCTATTTTGCACAGTGCTTTTAATTGTTAAAAATACATTTATACTTAAAGTGAAAACCCTATTCTATGCCAATGCGTTTGCGGTCCTTGGCGGCGTTCTTCTTGCGGCGCTTTTCCAGGTGTTTGTTGAGTTTTCCCTCGTTTTTCAGCTTCTCAAACTGGGCCACTAATTCCTTGGCACGGCGCTCCTCTGTGGGGGAAAATAGGATATTTTAATGACTGAAATTCCAAGTTAGTTTTAGAGACATACTCTTTGTGAGATAGTGAGGCTGCTGCCCTAAATTGTGTTTCTTCTGAATGGTAGCACGCTCCTTTTTGAGTTGCTTCTGCTTGGTGTGCCACTTTTTATCTTCTACATTCTTGTTAATCAATCGCTGCATGGTGTCCTTTATTTTGTGCTTTTCCTCGTCATCCTCCACCTCGTCCAGTTGCTTCTTAAGCTGGCCGACCTCCTTGGAGCGAATTTGGGCAACAAACTGGTAGTTCTTCTTGAAGGTTTCCGCATTATATGACCCCGACTTCTCGTCGAATCGAGGATCTCTGAGTTCTACGGTTTTTTTGCGCTCCACCCGGTGTTCTGCTCCCAGAAATGGAACCTGTCGTCGGGTGCTCATTTCACGGGGTCTATTTTTGTTTAGGCGCTTTAGGTCGGTTTTAGTTTTGGGTTTCTGGGGTCTGGAACTCTTGCCCCCGAGAACGGCTTCTTTGTACACCTTGGCGCCCAGCTCCTCTTTGAGTTTCATTATCTCCTCAAAGGACATTCCCTTGAGATCCTCCCGAATGGCATTCTGAAAATGGTGTTTTATAAGTCAGTTCTTTGCATAATTGGATAATTTTTACCTGGGTTTCATCATCACTGCTGGCCTCGTGCTCAGAGGCTGATGAGGCTTCACTGGGAGAGGACATATCCTTCTTAAATTCTTTCAAAACTAAATTTATTTACTTCTTAAAGATTTCACGTGTTATTGTTTTGCATTCCAACAGCTGATTTCTAAACCCGATAACGATATACATCTTTATCGATTAGCGTTACTCAACACTGAATTAAGTTACCGCCAAATTTAAATTTTGGTTTAATAGTAAGATTAAGAAAACTGCTTAGTAAACATTTGAATTTCAAGGCATTCTTTTTCAAAAACCATTGAGTTTATACATACCTTCACAAAACCCGACCCCTTCAAAATATAACACTATATTTTAGAGTAATTCTCAATGGTGTGATTTATTTTTGATTTAATTGCAAGTCTTACATAGTTAGGTAAACAAATGTGAATAATTCATAGATCGTTGGGGAACAGAAACAAGCAACGAAATTGTCGAGAAATATACACAATTAATTGTCACAACTGAATCCAGAAAAAGGTTCGAAACGGCTGATAAAGTTGTCTGGATTTTGATTCTGAAGCGAGCGGCAGAGTAACTAGAAAAATAGTTTTCAAAATTTATTTTTGTTGACATTTTTTTTAGCCGAATTTGATTAGCACACACAGACCAATGGAAAAATTAAACGAGATGCCCTTAAACACATTAATTCTAAGCAATTCAGTTATAGTTACATTAGTCACATGTAAATATTTTATATAGTTTCCGTATATTTATATTTATTTAGTTTATATTTATGCTCTATAGTATATAGTTTGCTTTGTACACGTACACACAGATAAAGTAAACTTGATTGCAACAACTAGGAGAGTGTGGGACCGGATTATTCGTATTGACCGAGTGCGAATATATGCCAAATATCTATAGTATTCGTATTTTGTTTGAGTTCGAGTTCAAAAATTGACTGCTGTGTATCTTTAAGCTAATATTTATATTTATACAATCAAACACAGCACAGTTGCTGTCTTCTGCCTTTTGTTCGATTTCTCAATATTTGTGCTGTGCTCACAATCGTGTGGGAAATATCATATAATATTGCTATAGTTTGCTACGTAAATACACGCCTCTGTGCGTACATATATGTATATTAGTTAGCTATAAAGTAGATTTCAAGCCGATCGATCACAGGCGAGGACTAGTGGTGATCCCTATCCCTTTCCCTTCCGACTCCTGATGTCCGATGCCTGGACTATAGCCTCAAAAATTCTTAACTAGGTAGTTTTCATATAGTATTTCATACGTTTGACTAGCACGATTTGGTTGGGGTAACTACGTACACTCTTAGCTAGTTGGTTGGATTGGATCTACTTAGTTTGTTTAGTTTAGTTTCGCGGTTTTTCAATCACCTAAAAGCGAAAGACAGAGAGATAGAGAGAAAGGATAGTATCCGACAAAAGGTTCAACCCGGGGGCTTCGCACCTTCGGGACCTTAAATAGATCACATATTTTGACATTCACTTATGCTTAATATTGCAACTGCATTTGCTTCTGCTTAATGCTCATCCGCTTGTATATGGATAGTTATAGTACTTAAAACATATTTCAAACATATACATATACCCCTGCATTTGTCTTCGGCTTCGATTGAATTTGGTGGGGTTCTTGTTGATGAAATTATACTTTTATGGATTCCAATTTGTTAATAAGTTGTTGTTATGAGAAAAAGTTTTACATAACTAGAACATTTTCAAAGAATAATTTAATAATTCCTACTTTTTAAAGAAGATATTTTTTTGATAATATAATAGTTTATTATCACAATGGTAACCAAAACTACTTTGTATTTTTTTTAAATTAAATAGAACAAATTATGATTTAATCAGTATTTGGTGTTATACAAAAACTATAGTTTCATCAGTAAAAACTCTGCTCAAATTTAATCGAAATCGAACCCCAAACACTGTAATATATACAGGTAGAGCACAACAAGTTTCTGTGAATTTTCCAAACCCAAAATCCAATTAGAACTCGGTCATCCCCCCTCCGCACTTGTGGTCAGTCTCACTGCCCGTCGTGCTGGAGGGAGTCGCCATATTCTAATTGGAGGGCTTTCGTCATAACAACGCGCACAGTTTGGATCGCTTCTTGGACTTGTCCACCATCTGACCGCCGGCCGACGAGGTGGAGGATGATGCGGACATGCGACCCATGCTGCCGGAGGCCTGCGGCTGCGAAGGACTCGTGGGACTCTTGTCGTCCATATCCTCGCTGACATGGGACTCCAGGAGCTTGAGCGATGTCTTGGGCTTCGAGCCGTCCATGCTGTTGTAGAGCTTCGAGGAGAGCTTGGATCTCACTGCCTTGCCCAGGGCTCCGGTCTTCTTCATGCTCAACCTGGAGCCACTTCGGTGGTGCTCCGGCGTGTGACTATCCTCGCTGCCATGCTGGGACTGCTGATTGCAGTTGAGAGTGGTCACCGTGAACTCGATATCCTTGATCTCCTCATCCGCACAGGCGGCAAACTCTTCCACCGGCTTGTCAATCGTATCGTGATCGATCCAGGTCAAGCCCATCTCCACCTTTTCGGCCAGATCCTGCCAGTTCCGTCGGTTCTCCAAAGTGCCCTCGTAGAGAGGAGTGATCCAGGGGAAGGTGTCGCAGAGCACTCTGTAGAGGGGAAGGCATATCACGTCGATGAAGCCCACCTGCATCTTGGGTAGCTCGTCCTTGCGCTCCCTAAAAATGGTTTAAATTTAGGAACTATGGATTCTTTGGCATCTAAGGTGACTCACCTGTCCATCATGGCCACTGGTTGGGTGTTGAGCTGCAGCTTCTCGAGATCTCCCTGGTCAAAGAACTCGTCGGCCACCAACTTGGCCACCTTGTGCTGAACTTCCCAGGGCTTGGCAATGGCACTCACATCGCAGGCTGTCATCATCATGCCACAAAGTACTAAAAATAATAGAATTAAGAAATATTATAAGTGTTACTTTTGTTAAAATAATAATATTAATAGAAAGTTTGTTTTAGAATTCAGGGATAGGATAGAATAGAGTTGAAATTTAAATGTAATTGAAATTTAGGAACATAGTGAAGATTATGACAAGTATGTGTACTCACAATCCTTCTTCTCCTCGCCCTGCCAATCGAACTCCCCATTTTCCACCAACTCCAGGAAAGCGTTTCGCTTCTTGAAATACATGGCCAGATCGGTGGACAGGATGGCGCTTTCCACAGTTTTCATTACGGAGCGATAGTCCTCAGGTGACAAAGCCTGAAAAGAAAGCAAACACAAAGTTAAGTTCGCAGACAAAAAGCTAAGATTGCTTATTCTCATCTTAAATTGCTATCCCAAAAAACACCTGTACCCATGACGTCACATTAGAATTAGGCATGTGCCTAAACATAAGTTCACCACTTATCGGAGTCAAGGTGGATTTAATTCAAATACATTTCGGTAAACTATGTTTTCGGCTAGTTGAAGGTCGCCAGCTAATCTTGGATAGTATAAAAATGCTCATTTCTGAGCAGAAAGCATATCAGTTTACAATTGAAGCATCCAACATGAAGTTGTCTCTCGTTCTCTTCGTCCTTTCGATGGTGTTGTATGTGGCTCAAGTGAGGACTGCAGATAACACAACGACAACCACCACGGAGGCCACCACCAGCACTACCACCGAGGCGACCTCTTCTTACACTTCGGCTGATAACGCTAAGATCGTTCGTATGAGCAATTTGACATACTCGATCAAGAGGAAAATCAGGGTGGCCACCACCGCCAGTTCCACCAAATCCAAATCGAAGAGCGCCCGTGCCAAGGCTCGCAAGGCCCTTAAAAAGGCCCTCAGACGCAACAAAAAGTCCTCTGGCAACCGAAAACTCAACAAAAAGTCCAAGAACCGCAATGGTCGTGTTCTTCGTCGTTAGGCTGAATCATGTTTAAATTTTTTTAATAAAATGTTACAAGTTATAAACGAAACATAAAAGTGTTCTGTAATTTTTTGGTCATTTTATAGCACAGCTGTTTTAACAAGTCCGTTTTAAAAAGTAAGAGTTATAAATAGAATAATCTCATTTAAATGAATTTCACTGTGCTTTAATTCAAATGGATAGCTTAAAATATTTTTTTATTTATATGAAGAAATGTAATTACCTGGAATATGTTATTTCCTTCCGAATTGAGTATCATTACGCACTGATCGAAGTGATGGTGCTCCATTGTGCTGGTAGTGTACAAAATAGCCAGTGGAGATTCTGTTTTGGTCTGGAATGCATTGTTGGTGCCACGATGGTCTAAATCATGGCACAAACAGGCCACCAGCAATCCCAGAATCTCCAGATCCGTCATGAAGCGCTCCATCTTTCCAGTTTTTAGCATGGCGAACATCGTTTGAGCCACGTTAAGGGCATGCCGCCAATTGTGGTACTTCACAGGACGATAGTTCTTCCGAACACTCAACACCCAGCGGCAGAGGACCTAAAAAGTTGTTATTATACAATAAAAATACACATAAGTATGGGATTTTAGGGACTACAGCTTATTTTATGTAATTTAAAAAGATTTAAAAATTATACTATATTTTTTTTGACAATAATATAGGACTTACATCATATGGTATTTGGAACTGAGATACCAGATTGCACTGCATAAACATGCGAAGAACTGCTCGACAGGTATCATCATCCACCAATTCAAAGTCTTTAATAGAATAAAATTAATTACATGGTTTTCTAATATGATCTTGAGATCTTTAAAAATTTCTTACCAGTAAAGGTGAAGCTGTACAGGTTGTAGGACTCCGCCTCGGCAATCGCATCCTGGGTGAGCTTCTCCGTCTGATCCTGGCTAGCGGTGGCATGGTAGCTGAGGCACTCGAGAGCCACCTTCTGTTTGGCCATCAACTTGCAGGCATTCTCGTACATCTGGGTGTTGTGGATGCCCAAGCCGCAGAATATGGCAAAAGCCTCAAAAATCGAGGCATCCGATTCGGTGAAGGGAACTCCGTTGGCCTGTTCAAATATTCAAATCATTTCGTTTCCCCAATTTTAATAATTAATTATAATAGTATTAATAGAATATGAACCTTGTTGATAAGCTGGGCCACTCCAATGACCTTCTTCTGGGCATTCATAATGGGCATGCAGAGGATGGCCTGGGTGCTGTCTATTTCGTCCTCAGCCCGAATCTGATTGTGTTCCCTGACCCACTCGTGGACATCGCAGATGTTGACTGTTTGCCCGGTGGTGGCCACAAACTGAGCAATTTGGGCCAAAGTCGAGGTGCTCAATTCAGTGATAGATGGCCTCGAAACATTGGCAGCGTGATATTCGCCACCAAGTTCGAAGAGCACAGTGAAACGATTGCGCATTTTCTGTTCGATCAATCGAAAGGGGTTTCCAAAAACAAATATGAGAATCAATGGGCTTGAAAGGAATCAAAACCTTAGGTGGACTTACCTTCTCCTCGAAGCTATCGGCGGATTTGATGGCGCGGGTGGCTGGTTGATTGGGCTTCTCAATTATCTTCTCCAAATGGCTCTGTGGTGGAAGGGGCGAGAAGAAGGGCAGAGGGGACATTAAGTGGCTGCCACTAATGGAGCTCGTAACGGTTTTCCCCAAGCCGCCAACTTGTTGATAAATTGCATTGCACCACATCGCACTTCCCACCCCACACTTAGGAAAATAGTATAGGTTTTTAAAACAATAAATTAATTAATTATTAAAGATAGTCTTTAAATATGCCTCACAGTCAAATTTCACAATTATCTCAAATACACTTGTCATAAATTACAAAATCGAGATTGCTTCTTCTCGAAAACCAAACTGAAGAGTACTTTCCTCTTGATTTCAAGAACGTTTTTTCTCAAAAAACTAAGAAGACTAATTATTATGTTTTGCATACTTGTCCCTGGCTTATTTATGTTCTCATTTCTTCTGAAAGTATATTTTAATTCTCATAAATATATCAATCTGTTGCTTTTAATCTTGGGACAAATAAATATAGAAAAAAGAGAAAATCATTCTCAAATCTTTTAAAAACATATTTTCTGGGTTATGTTTTCAATTGATCATGTCATTTTCTACACATGTTTTTTGTCAAATTTTTTCTTAACCTTTATTTATTTTCTTCCAGTGCAAAAGTCCTTCGCAAACGGGCAACATAAACCACCCACTCCCTTGCCACCCGAGCATAATTAAGCTGACATGTTGCACATGACGGGCTTGTCAGCCAAGTTTTCAGAGTCCGTCCGTCCGTACAGGCCAACTCGACTGGACCTGCCCCTGTGGGCCAGTTGGGCTTTATGGGCTAATAAATTGTCCATTACACTTACATGCATTTGCATTATCAGCTGGCAGCAGATAATGGCTAATTTGGCCCTGGCAATTTCCCGAATTAAACAATCAACGTAATCAACGGCATTTCATTGGCCAGAATTGCACTGTCCACTACATATCAAATTAATAACAATTTCTGTGAGAAATTGTAGGCTTTTGTTTAGTTCATATAAAGGTCACTCAATTCGATATTTACAGCCTTCATTTGTTTACCGCTGGCAGTAAATTAATGCAGCATGCAGCAGTTTAATTATATGCATTCATCAAATAGGCCGAGCAAAATGTCTTTCATATGCCAGAGGCCAGGACATCTGTATTACTCCTTTTACGGGCAGTTCCATTTAAAATTTTAATGCGTAATCCCTGGAGAAATACCTTTGGCAATATTAATGCGCCCTGTTGGCCAAGGATGAATATGCAAATCGATTGTACACGTGCTCAGAACATTTTACAGGCTTTAAGTGTGTCTTAATTGATTTAACTGAAGCATGATTGCAACAAATAAATATTCGTTCAATAAATGTATATTCATACATTCGATTGCTATTTATGGTGTCTTTAAATGTAGCAAACAAAATTTTATTTTATTATTATTAAGTGTGTTAAATGTGATGACTTAAATTGTATTAAAGCGCTGACTTTTATTCTTTGTAACACAAAACATTTTTATAATACCTATAATAGTAATAGTAAATTTGTAGTGCATTATACTTTTTTAATTACTTTTCAATTAATTAATATGAATAAAGGGGCTTGTTTTAATATTAACTGCTTTAGAATTAATTGTTTTATTGTATAATAATTTATTCTAAAATCTAGATGTCAGGTAATGACGTAGGTAGTTATTAACTCCGATGAAAAAGAAAAAATATTTAATAACCTGTTTTAATTTATTTATTTCATTTACTATTTTGCATAGATAAGAAATGATCTAGATAAGCCCAATTGACAATCTATAAATAATGACAGGCAATCAGCGTAACCTCAGCCCAAATGAAAATTGTCCAGACTTGTACACAATTTTCCGAAAATCCCCCAAAGACCTCCAACACCGAGCTGTCAGAATTCCAGGCGATGTCTGACACTTCTTCATTGCTGAATTCCCGCCCGCGTGGAAACGCCCACAGTCGAGTCCCCAAAAAACATAATGTAAATTGCACACTTTAATTTTCTATGGGTTGACAAACACACAAACAAAATGGACCTCTCGGTGGCGTTTAAACCATTTTAATGAAACCGACAGCCACACGAAAAATTAAATGGACTGGGGACCGCCGGGCCTCACTTTTTTATTATTTATACCGCATATTGGGGCGCCAATTTGCAATCTGGTCCACAAGCAAATTATTTGCTTGCATGAACTTTGGTTGTCTGGAATATGATGGTTAATCTTTTTCATATTCTGAATCGATTTAAATAAAGTGCTCTATAGACAGTGTGACTGCTAGGAAAGAAATTTTCTTTAAAAACAAGTTTAGCTCAAGCTAAGCAGTCGCAACTTGTAATTGAAGGCGACTTCTATGTACTTTACATTTGAATAATCCTTAAGTTGGTCTGGCTTAGGTCAGTTAAACTTCCTGTTAAACTAGATAATAGCGATAATCATGTTTAATTTGCATTATTAAATAAACTGCACCCCGGCCATATATCTATATAAGGCCCAACCGAAGCTTCAGAGCAAATCAGTCTAAAAACCATTCTATAGAGAAGCACAGTTTCTAGCGGAGTGTCCTTTTTTAAAGTGTTCAGTGTTTAGTTTTAGTAACTTAAATAATGCTAACGTTAATTTGCTTTTGACCGCTGGAGCACTTCTTTGGATTTATTTCCTATGGACTCGCCGTCGGATATATATGTTAATGTTAAGGTTGCCTGGACCCATAGGGTTACCCTTACTTGGCAGCTCCTTGGAAAATATCATCACTTATAAACGTAAAAACGATTCATCCAATAAAACAATGAATATAAAATTGACCATACCACAAAAACAGGCAAAATTAGTTTTCGAACCAAGTATCTTGACAAGTATGGCTCGACGATTTTAACTTGGATGGGTCCAGTGCCATTTATAGTGACCAGGGATCCCAATGTCGTCGAGGATGCCTTTAACTCTTCCGATTGCAACAACAAGAGCCCGCATGTCAATGCTGCGATAACCAATTGCATGGGACTTGGATTGTTGGGACTAGAAGGTATTGGAATTAGCTATGCAAAAGCCATATAATACCGATGTCTTATTAGATCACAAGTGGATTGACCGTCGGAAACACCTTAACCCAGCATTTAAACATGATGTCCTGCTCAGCTTTTTTCACATTTTCGATGCCGAGACGAATATCCTTAGAAACAAGATTGAAAGTTATGTCGAGCAGGGCGAAATAGAATTGGTTCCAGACATGCTCAGGTGGTCGTTTAGAATAGCTGCTCGTAAGTCATCCTGTACTCGTATTGATTTGGTCCTTAACATTTTTGGTTCTGTCCGCAGAAACCACAATGGGATCTGATGTGAAACATGATGAACACTTCAAAAACAATGCCCTTGTGGAATGCTTTGAAGCGTGAGTCCAATCTTAAGCATATATCCATTAGTATATAAATTGCTTCGCTTTATATAAAATATTCAGGCTCATATGTCAAACAACACTAAATATTTTGATGCCTTTGGCCCAAAACAAAATAATTTCCAAGCTGTGCGGTTATGAAAAGGTGCAAACAGACAATCTTTCAAGAATTCAAAAAATGCTGGACAATGTAAGTGAAAGATTCATTTTCTAAAATTTCTTTCTTAGCCTTTTTATCGATAATCAGGTGGTTCAAAAAAAGCAGAACGCAACGGATGAAAGTAAATCAGATCCCGAGATGAACATTGTGATTAATCGTGCTATGGAACTGTTCCGCAAAGGCGATATTTCCTATACGGACGTGAAAAGCGAGTGTTGTATTATGATTGCCGCTGGTTATGATACATCAGCTCTGACGGTATATCATACTCTCTTTCTTCTGGCCACGCATCCCGAGCACCAGATTGCGGTCTTCGAGGAGCTAGTTGATGTCTTCCCCACCGCCGGGGACTTTGAAGTAACCTATTCAGATATGCAAAAATTGATTTATTTAGAACGAGTGATGAAGGAGACCCTGCGCCTGATACCCGCCATACCAATAACGGCGAGAGCAACGAAGAATGATGTCAGGCTTTCAAATGGTGTTCTTCTGCCCAAAGGAGTAGTTATAGGCATCGATATATTTCACACCCACAGAAATCCGGAGGTCTGGGGTCCAGATGCATCCAAATTCAACCCAGATAACTTCTTACCCAAAAACATAGAGAAACGGCACTCTTATGCCTTCGTTCCCTTTGCAAGGGGAAAGAGAAACTGCATAGGTTGGGTGGTCTTTCGACTGAAAGTATCATGGTTTCATCATATTTAATGTCTTTTATAGGTTCGAAATATGCAATGATGTCTTCAAAGTTCGCTTTATGCCGATTACTCAGGAACTACAAGATAAGCACAAGTTTTCGCTATGAGGATCTAGTCTATGTAGATAATATGACCATGAAGCTGGCTGAATACCCACGACTGGAATTTAAACGACGAACTTAAGATGATATTTCTTTAACGGGGTAGTGGTTATCATGAACGAAAGCTCATTCCTTAAATTTCAAAGGTTTAAGAAGTTTTTAAAGTAGCCAAACCCCACTAGTCTAAGCATTTAAATTTAAATCAAAATATCACTTAATGCTTAAGTGACTTGACAATTAAAAAATTGAAATTGTTAAATATATCACTTACCGCTTCGCAACAGTCGAGGTCCACCAGAAACACCGAGCACCTTTCGCACTTGAGAAGTTCCCGGGCCTCTGTCATGATTTTGGTGACGAGGCACTCGAGATTGTTCTGCTCCTCGAAAATGCTGCGGGCCAGATTGAGAAGGATTTGGTTACGCCGGTATTCCTGGACGGACATTTCAAAGAGCTGGGCATTTTGAATGCCAATCCCGCAGAAGGTCAGATACCGACGGAAGATTTCCACGTCGTGCTCATCAAACTCCATGCAGCCTAAAAAATGTTTTATAGATATATTTAAAAATGAATATATATAGAGGGGTAATATACCCACCATTCGTTTTGTTTATAATTTGCGCCACGCCTATGATGTCGCCCTCGTAATTGCAGATGGGCATGCAGAGGATGGCGTTCGTCTTGTAGCCTGTTTTCAGATCGATTTCGCAGTTGAAGCGCGCATCCTTGTAGGCCTCCTTGATGTTAATCATCTGCTTTGTCTGCGCCACCATTCCCGCGATTCCAATGCCAAAGGGAATGATAATCTCCTCGGCACTGGCCCGAGTCACCGCGTCCTTGAGTGCTGCAATCAAACGAGATTCAAACTGGAGTCAATCAAGGGGAAAACGCTGTGCCAAGAGAGCTATCAAAAATCATGAATAAAATTCCTGAATTAAGATTGAGCACTCACATCTTAACGCAGGACTCAGCGCTTTTCAAATTGAAGTAATGCATCTGCAAGATGCTTTGTCCCTAACTTGAAGAATTTCATAAGACTCCACTTTAATTTAGCAGTTTGTCAGGCTTTCCTTATCATATTCAAAAATGAGCTCATAAGTAAAGCCCTTTGAAAATCCCTTAGGCCCGCCATGTATCTTTTTATAAATTCTTAATGCCTCTACAATTGAAATTTAAACACGTTCAACCTTTTTCCACATACTGCCTCGAAATTAGTTCAACCGTTGCAAAGCGTATTAGGACGCAGATAAAGCCCGTCGTGCATCTGAGTAAATATTAAATTTATAGGCAAAATATTCACTCTGCCATGCAAAAGATACAAGAGCAGGGCCTTCGCAGAAACACCGAAAACACGGAGAGAATAATATATAAATAAATAATGACAGGGCCCCCTAAAATCCGAAATCCGAGGGCAAGAAGTCAAATGTGAATTTGCATGAGCTCGCCGGTCCCGCCTCAAACATAATCTCAGTGGGCCTGGGCCACATGTATCCGTATCGTATCCGTATAATGGTAGATATATCTACCCCCCATTGCCACCACTTCACATTTCCCAGCTCTAATCTTTCTCGCATTTTCCCCACTGAATTATGTAGCGGAAGCGGTGGCTTTTACTCACGGATCTGCGCCAAAGATTCATTACGAATGTAACGCACTTCTGTATGAATATGTCGGCCTGTTTGTTTTTGTGGGCGGAACCTGTGGGAGCACGTTCTCGGAAAATATACAAGCTATTTCACATTTGAAGGCGACCTTTTGAGTTTTATGTGCCGAAAACTTTTAATGCCCCCCTACTATTTCAGCCTAATTTCGCTAATGTGTTTGCCGGCCCCTTTTGGCCAGGCCAAGAATTATTTACCCGGCCGCTAATGAGTGTCAATTTGTATACGTCCAATGGGTTGGCCCCTAAACAATTTCAAAATAGCTCAAAGGGTAATATTTAGTGAGTTTCATAATTCCTATTGAAAATAACTTTAATTAAAGGAAACGTATCTATTGATGGTGTTATTTCATGCCTTATATAGATTTAAAACTTTTCAAGTACTTAATGGGACCAAGCTATTTCGTAGTTTGTACTGTAATAAAACCCCAAAGGAAATCTAACAAAAAACAAAGTAATATTTCACATTGATTTCAAACTTCCCAAGAAAACAAAGAGGTTTATAATACCAAACACATATGTCAAATAACAAGAGGACGAAATCATACAATTTAAATGCAAAATGGTACTCAAAAAGGCTATTTTTACTTCTGACTTGATTGCTTTTGCCTATTCCTCGTTCTTACATGGATTTTGACCATGTTTTCCTCAGTCTATCTGCCTTTTAACAGAGTCCTTCAGTATATTCCCCCTGCATTTGTGGAAATCACTGAGCGCACTTGACTCGCCTTTTCCCATTTTTCATTCATTTTTGCTTTCTTCAGCCATTGTGTTGTAGTAGTTCGTTGTGTGCATTGTTCACCTTAATTAAAGCGGGATTACCTGTGCCACAAGGACTCCGCCCACAAGCATTGTACACCCTTTACAAAAACCCAAAGTGTGTGGAGCAACAAAATTGCCAATGGAAATTGTGCATTTCCATTGCAGTCTCACCTGTCTTTTGAGTGACATCGAATAGCTTGGCCACCAGATACTTGTTGGTGGGCGTGCCCTTGGCCAAAAACAAGGAGCCCCGATCCGCGTGGGTGAGCAGCCCGACATTGACCAGAATCTTGTGGCACAGCACGTCTATGTCCAGCTCGTTGGCCACGTCGCGAATCAGTTCCATGAAGAGTTCGCCCTCGTCCAGGTCCATCAGGTGCCTCCGGCTCTCGGGGAGCGACGATGCCGAGGAGTTCGAGAGACTCCTCGGGGATTTCTGCAGGGGAAATGAGGAAACAGACACCATAAAGGTTAATAGAATGCTGGTATCGAGTTTAACCGAAAAAGAATACCACACTGATAATATGATGGGATAATCAAATGGGATCTTAATGAAATAATATATAAATTAAATATAAACATACAATTTTAATTATTTTAATATAAGTTATAACTACTGTCATTTCACTTGAACTTAAATATAAGTAATATGATGCTATAAAATTATATTTTTTATAATTTTTGGTTCATTAAACATGATTTATTTAGTAACCATATTGAGCTTAACAATGCGTATACGTCTTTGGTATATTTAAGGAAAAATACATGTACTTATTTTATGAATTTTATTTCTTTCTTAGAATACATATAATACCAAATTTTTCTATATTGACAAGACCTACTTATTTTAAGTAAGTTATAGCCCTCTTTAATAAGTAATATGTACACAATTATTTCTTTTAACGATAATTTATTCATTGAAATACAATTTAACTAGTTCCCAAAAATATTCCAGGACATCTTGGGCATTTTCTTGAACAGTCCCAGTACGTGTCTGGGAATTCTATTGTTTGGCCTGAGAAAGCGGAATAATTCCCCTATTTAATTAGCTTCCATATAAATAGCTGTGTTATTAGCTGGGCATTATTATTCGGCAGAACGGGAGACAAGAGAGCACTTTAAATATTTAACAGTGTATTTAAGGCAATAAGGGCTATTGTCTCTGCCCACGTACCATTATTTCTGTTTTCGATTTCTGGCCATTTAACCCTGGCCCCCAATTTCATTGGAAATTAACTTGGTCCGGTTCAAAGGGTGACTATTAGCAGCAGTTGGCAGTTGTGCCTTTAAGCGGTTCCCCGGCTCCTGCCTCGGCTCTCGTCCTTCGGCAATGTGGTAATTGAATACCGAAAAAGGCCCCTGGTCCTGAATCCTCTGAAGCCCCCTGAAAACCCCTGAATGCCCCGATCCTGTGACCTGTGCGTGCGAGGGGCCAATTAACAAAGTTGGGAGCTGCGAGCTGCAAACTGGGAGCTGGTTACGTTGCGTGTACTGTCCTCATCCTGGTCCTGAAAACAGGCCATGCCATTCCCCACATCCCCATCATTTTTACTGACAAATTAAAGCAATTTACTGTCGCTCCTGCCCCTTTTTGTATCAACATTTCCATGTGGCGCCTGGCCAGAAATATCAATAATTACAATGGGTATACAAATAAGTACTCTACTTGTAGAGATCCGTATTTTCTTTCGGGATTTCTGTCTAATACAATCTTTGTGTAAACCCAAATGAAAGAATTACTTTCCAATCCTTTTGTGTTTTTCCTTTCTTAATGAATTTCCTTTTTTCTCAAGATAAAAAGGTGGGATAAATAAAGCATTAAATGCCATTAAAACTTGTCTTAGCCGCGTTTAAGAAAAGAAAAAGCTGGCCAAAAAGACTTGTCAAATAATCTCCGCCTTGTTTGAATTGAACTGAAAGTTAGAAACACATTTATGTTTGTGTTGGGCGGGAACAATGCAAATTCATTAAATAAAATGCAGACAAATAAAGGGAAGTGAAAACAAAGCCAAGCCAGTCGGAGCGTTAAGTAAATTTGAACTTCAGCCAGTGGCATTGAGTGTTCCCCTTAAAACAACAATAAAATCAACAAACGATGTCGAGCACTCGTGCTGTTTTTATTATTGTTCTTTTTTTGCTCTTATTTCTATTTTTTGCAAAAGAAAAGTGAAAACATGAAAACGAAATGACTCTTAATGGGGGAAAACGTCCTGCCTGGCATGAAAATTTCTGAGCCATATATAGCACACCGATGCTACCGATACAAAAGCGGATAAACAACAGGGGCTAAGAACTGGAAATACCCTGAACGGGGATTGCAGTTTGCATTGCGTAACGTGCACTTAAATAAATTGACAATATCGACAACAAAAAGGGGGAAAGGCACACGTGCTGTTCACCTGCTGCAAGAAAAAAAAGGGGAAAATAAAACAAACTGCACTCTCTAAGCCAGACAATCGCTGAAAGGTCTCAAAGGTTGACTGCTTGTTGTTTTACCCAGGACACTGGCCTAGTTTTCCCCCATTTTCCTTCCTTTCACACACATATACTCGCTGACTGAAAGAATTTTCCACTGACTTTTAGTTTTGATTCACAAGTGCCCAGGTGAGTGCCGATTTCCATGAGGGACTCAAGCCCACTTCTTGTTTTGGATTTTTCTCTGTTTTTGCTCAACCAATTGCAGCAGAAGAGCAATTTGCAGTTCAAGTTGTGATCTAACATAATTTGGATGGATTTTTCAGAAAAGAAAAGTAAACATTCGAAAAACGCATTGCACAAGTGGGTATCGATGGCAGTTGCCAATGGCAATAAGTGGGTCAAAAGAGTTCAATTGAGTCATCGAGTTCAAGCACTCATTCGATGGCCATCACGAGCATTTCAAATAAACAGGCAAATAAATGAAGTATGCAAAGGTAATTGAGTTTAACAGTCTTAAGTGTGCCCATTAAGCATTATTACCCCCTATGCAAAATATAAGTACTGATTGGAATCGTATTATACGTTCATTGGTCTATTCATTCCGAAAAAATTTAAAACTTTTAACATTTTTAAAATCTTTAAGCTGTTTGCTTCTTTCTAAAACATTTACTAATAATTTTAAATTGACTTAAAGTATATTTTTAAAGTCACAGAAATTTGTTTGGAAGTCATATGAGCTAACAAAACACACTGTAAAATGGGCTATATAAAGCAATTAAAAATCAAAATCAAAATGAAATATTTTTAATTATTTATGTACAGTTTTTACAGTAATGAATCATACATTTTTCATTTGTGCCAATAAAATCGCTCACACGAAATTCATTTCACGAAAAGACCATTCTTCACCGACAAAGGTCAGGCCATACATATATTCTACCGTATTTTATTTTATGTTATTTTCCCCCTGAAGCGGCGTTACACAAAAATATCAAATAAAAGTTAATTGAAAAATACTTGGCGCCGACGTGATGTAGCGATTTAAAAAACCTGCCGGCCAGGTTGTCAATAAATAACCAATAAATTTATAAAGCATGCTTTTCGGCTGTCGATTGAAAGTGGGGCGGTTTTGAAAGCGAGTAATTTCATTTTTAGTGCCTGAATTAAACATACGCAGAGCAGAAGGTCCGGAAAAGGCAATGGAAATGGAAATGCCATGTGGCTGTGTGAGTTTTTCCAATTAGGAAACTTCACACGCAGCCAGAGACACCAGAAACACTAAAGAAAAGCCAAAGGAAATTTGTGAAAATATCAATTTAGTTAATTCGCTCGGCGAGAAGGCGAACAAAGTTAAATAAAAGCGGAAATCCAGCGCTGAGGCAGCAGCAGTGCCAAAAGTACAACAAAACAGGGCAAAACAAAGCAGGGCAAATACAAATACCAGCTCAAACAGTCGGTAAATGGTAGATGGTGGGCAAATAGAGCTCTGAGTTCTATGTGAAAGGATGAAAGCATGGTGGCCAAGTGCTGGGGACCCACTGCAATTGCCACTGCCACTTGGCAAATGCAACTGCATTTGCACTTGCACTTGCCGCCTTTGTTTGGTGGAAATTTTTGGGGACGAGGGGAATGGCTAAAATAGATTGAATGGATGCGATGGAAAAGGACCAGTAATGACACCCCTCTGATTTGGCCACGAAAATTAGTTTGGCCAAACGAAAAGTGCCAGGAGAACTTTCAATCAAGATTTTGATTTACCTCTGAGGTAGAATAATCGAAAGAAAAAACTTTCCTGTTTAAATTTCCCTATTATTTACTATCGGAAGGTGAAGAAGGTATAGTCTTGTTAAGTAATTGTTAGTAATTTCTTAGGTTGTACTTTGGTATAAATATACATAGAAAATGGAAAACTGACTGATAGTATCTCAAGTATTGTCCTTTTTTAAGGGAGGAATTTTACCCCGAGGAAATTGATGAAAGAAATAAAATAAATCATTTAAAATTGAATAAGAAGAATACATTTTGTGTAAAGCAGTTTACTTTTTAAAACGTTTTAACCTTATTTTTGCTTTTAAACCTTTTTTTCGTATACTTTGAGTAGGTATTAGCTAATATTTTAATAATATTTTCTTATACAATAATATATAATTATAATATATCACATACCTGCTGCACGGTGGGCGAAGCGGACATCCATTGCTGGAAGAGATCCGAGGTGACCGAGGGTCGCTTGTGCGGTTTCCGGTTCTCGATGAACTCCTGCAGTCGGCTGAGGGCCTCCGGAGGAGCCCGCTCAGTCAGCCACTTCTCGAAGGCCTCCGGCTTCTCCTCGAACAGCCGGGCCACCTCATCCACATCCTGCTGCGATGCCGTCGAAGTGCTCGCCTTGGCCAACCTATCCTGTTGACCCGTCTGGGTTTGTATGCTCGTCAGCGAGGGGGACTGGGATGGGGGACTGGCCAACAGCCTGGAGATGCCATCACCTTCGCCGGATGGAGATCTCAGCTTGATTTCCGGACTGCGATTGGTGGTGGTCGCAGGTCGATTGTTATTGCTCTGCCGATGATGATGCTCCAGCTTGACCTGATTGCCACTTGAGCTGGTGGAGGGAAGTGCTCCAGATCCCGAACCCCCGGCTGACATTCCAGCCGTTGCCGTTGACGTGGCCGTCTTGTTGGCGCCATTGGTCAGCGGTTTGGATGAGGATGCGGATGAGGTGGTTGCTGTGGAGCTGCTGGTGGTCATTTCAACCGGAGCTGCGGCGCCGCCAGCTGGCGATGACACATCTGTCATGTTGCTGCTGCTCACTGTGCCGTGCCTGAAATCATTGCGGGCCAAATGGGGGCAGCTCCTCCTCCTCCTCCTTCTGCTCCTGCTTCTCCTCCTACTATTTTTTCTGATCCTTCTGGTAGCCTTTGCCTCGTTAGCCAGGCTCCGAATCCTGCTGCGTCCGCTGATTAAGTCACGTACTCGCCCACTTATGGTGGACCTGGATTCCTGGGGGTTTCGCCTGGCCAACCTGTTGCTCTGCACACTCCTCGACTTTAATGGCCAGGTGCGTGGCAATGGGGTAATTGATGATAGGCCAGTCTCATCGGTTAGCCGCCAGATTTCACTTCACGCACGTCTGCCCCTTTGTTTGTCTTTTTCGAGTGGCTTTAAATGCGTCCACTCGCCGGTTAACCGTTGATTTTTCCCTTTGATTGAAGAAAGCCTGAAACAGAGGGGAAAAAAAGAAACAGAGAAAGTTACTATTTGATGGCGGATTAGGGGCCAGCTTGAATGGAACAAATGGAAAGTTTAGACGCAACTTTGCCACATTGCCACTTGAGGCTAATGGCTGGCTGCCATTAAGCGAATCGCTTTCGAAATTCTAGATGAGCAGGGCGTGGCCCAGCCGAGCCATTAACTCTGAGTGCGGAGGTCCTCCCACGTATCTTCTTATCAGTTGCTTAAAAATTAATGAGTTGCCGGGAACTTTGCCAGGGATCTTACATGGGATTTTTCGCAGACCTTGCAGTCTCACTGATTTTGAAAAATTTTTAAGAGAGGAAATTGGGGCAAAGCATATTTTAAGAAAACATATACTACAGTCAAAAAAAAAAAACAAATACTAAAATGGGTTACAAAAAATAGCTAGGACTTTTATCAGGAGGCCACAAGGGTTTACTAAACAAAAACTAAACTGGTTTCTTGGGTATTACCATATTAAATGGTAAGTCTTTCTTCAAAACCATGTCTATAAAAAAGTAATATCCCACGCTTTGTAGTAAATACCTTAACGAATAACTTCAAATACGTTTATTTATCTAAAGGTTGGGCCGAAAAATGCCGGAAACATAAATTTCGCAGCTGGCTACCAATTTGCATTCGTAACCAAGATTTTTTATTCAACTTGAGTGTCCTTCTCGCCTGCCTTTTCAATTCCGAAAATGTGAATGTATCACATAGAATTTATTTGCGGGTAATAAATTCGCTGATCCCCCGGCAGAGTGGAGAAATCTCTTGGAATCTCGGCCAGAATGCGGAATGGAAATAAATTTAAATGTTTCAATGGGACACAAATTTATGGCTCCCCCAACCTGAAAAGAGGGGCATAGGTAATTTCAGCAGACGTCAAATGCAAAAGCCAGGACTCGAAAGGTGGCTTGCACTCACATTTCCGAGAGCATAGTGCCGCAAACAAAAAGGAAAATGTTTTAAATGAAAAAGGGGGGTGGAGGTAAAACCACCTTTAGAGGGGGTGGTGAAACAACGTTGCCATTTGTGCACATTTGCATTGAAATGGCCCTCGACATTTGCATGGTAAACACTTTCGGCGCTTGCCACGTGCCACCTTCAAAGTGCAACTTGCAACTTGCCACTTGCATCGAAATATGCTGTATAAAACGTAGCCAATCCCATCTGCTCGTCATAAAGCAGCATCAAAGTGTGCTACTCAGGTTTATTTTTGTACATTTAGTACATCCTGTCAGGGTCCTTTGTCCTTTGGCCACGGCACCTTGACCACCAGAAGCGATGACTTCCCTTGCAACCTGCACTTGTTTGGACTCTCAACCTCCGCCTGCGGCATAAACAATGGTGTTTTGAATAAAACACTGAGCCAGAGGACAGCCCACAGTAGCCAGGACTTTATCACGCACTCGTTTGCAATTTCAAATTGGGTAATAAATTCCTGAACTCCGCTCTGCAGATGGGTTTTTGTCCTCTTGTTTGCCCTGGGTGGCTTGTAAAATTGCTTTGTTCTCGCCGGGGCTTTTGTGGGCGATACTCTTGGCCCCCTCAGGCTTAGTTGCTACTGTAAATTTAATGTCAACACTAAAGATTAAGAGTTTAATGCGCACTTTGGCAAACAAATTTTTTGTTCCCCTTTTTATGGCCAGTCGACCTTGCTCGAAATGCCATAAATCGAACATTAAGTTGGTGAAATTATAAGCTTAGTTGCGCAGCTCTCAAGTACAATTAAGTTGATAAAATAAAGTTAAGAGGGGAAATTGAAGTGAATTAAGTTTAATTTAATTGGGTACGATTTAAAGTGGAATAAAGAAATTCCCGTAATAATCAGTTATGCCCTGCAACCTCTGGTTAAACAAGAAACTCATTTATAAATTCATCAAATTTACATTAGTATAACATGGCGTGCCAACGGAAATTTCTACCATTTGCCTAAGCAATGCAAATATATTTCGCTGCAAAATGCAAACAATTAGACGTAATTAAACCCATGCAAAATCTGCATTTGCCAAAGCGTTTAGCTGCCATTGAGGGCCCCAAACGACCCACCTAAATCCCAGTGGAATTGACAATGCCCACCCTCCACAACTCATCCATCCCATCGTGCCTGTCCATCAACCAAGTCAACATTTGCATAATTTCAAATGGAGCACTGACGCTGCGGTTCCCCGGATGCCTTCAGCAGATAGTTTGTTTCCTAATTCGACGGCAGAGCAATTAGAACTGGTCATGAACAGGATGAGGATGGGGAATAGGCCCTGTCCTGCGGGTCACGCACTCGCAACCGGAAATGAGCAGCGGAAATCATCGACATTGGGGCATACAAAACGGTAAAATGGGGCCCTATATGTAGTTGCGATTATAATAATAGCAACACCAAACCTGAAAGAACTAAGTTACTGTATGAATTGTCCTTCCCAACTTGCATTCTCATTCGAAAATACAAGTTATATTTAAAATATATATAATTTTGGAGTTATATAAAGGTAAAATTTTTATAAATTAGGAAATTTATAAACTCCTTAAGAAATGTTTTCCAAACAAAGCATTATTCCAAAGTAAAAGCAATAGTTTATAAATTTAAAAATATCACCAACATGTTTATAAATTTCTGTAATTCCTGGCAAGTGTATTTGCCGCTTAGATAATTATAAAAAGTGCTATTTCCATGACCCCTGCTGTATAGGGTTTATTATTGAGAAACAAATCCAAAGGGAGGAGAAGGTGCACACAACTCATGCATATCTAAAGATCCGCTTCGGTTATGGCCTTCGTTTTGTATAAAGCGTAGCGCATTTTGTGGCATTACTTTCTGCATGAAACCACCAAAATAATCAGTATAAACCGAGGATTATAAGCCCTTTGTAATGTTTTGCTAGCATGCGAAATAGTTGCGACTGCAGCTCGCATTAAAATCGCCGGTGTTTATTGCAAATTGCAATCAGCCAGTCAAATCAGCCCTATACAAACAGGTGAGCCCCACCTCACTCATATTTGCCTTAATTAAAAAAATATGTATAAGTTGGCTTCGCTGGTCATGTACTTTTAACCAGAGGCAGTAGTTATTTTTAATTAAAGTGCGCCGCAAACGTGTCAGGGACGCAGGATCCGTGGCTCTCCCGGCTTACAGGATGCAGTCTGCAGGTTGCAGGTTGCAGGTTTTCAGGTTGCAGGACGCTTTGCGGTTTGGGCCACGTCACTTTCCGAAGGCGGGGCATGCAAATGACTGAACGGGTCCTGCGGTCAGCGCTGCCCACCCGAACTGCAGGCGGAAATCCACCTCCTCCGCCCACCAGGACAGCAGGACACCTGCATCGCCCAGCGGCAACCATAAATAGACGGCAAACAGGGAGGGGGCACTCGCAGAAAATTTATAAAACATATTAGCATTAATTTCCTAACTTTAAATCAGCTTACAAGGAATATTTTTAATGGAAAAGGTACCCCATGGTTGTCTTTTTCTTGGACATTTTTAGAAATGAATATAAATACTAAAAAAGAATAGCTATATATTTATTGGAGAATGGAAAAACTACATATGTATGCCAAAAAATCTATCGACTAACATGATCTTGTGATATACAAAAGTATTTAAACCTGTTTTCAAAGTTATTATATTTTGTTGTTTTTTTTTTCAACTGTATGCAGCTATTTAATTCCAAAAGTATTCAAAGATCCTTAGAAATAAAACGTAAATTAAGTTAGTATTGTTCATACACATTCTTATTTTAGAAAGCTTTTAAAGAATAAGGAATATTAAAAATATGTGTGGCAATTATAAAGAGCTACTTATGTTTGAAATAAATACCTATGTTTTTATTTTAATAATTAAAAATAAGTAGAGCTGTTTAATTTAAAAATTATTCAAGGATTTTGGAAATGATTTTTACCACAAGGATTTTTAAATTCATTTCATAAGGTAGCCAATTTGGCTAAAATGAATATATTAATTGGCAAATCCTCTTGGGACTTTCAGTGTGGGTCTATTCAATGGTGTTGGTGCACTGGGACCAGCACGTTTAAAATTACGGAATTAGTGGCGAGCAGCACACGCAAACAGTTGCAAACACCCCATCGAAACCCGCCGCCACCGCCACAATGTTGCCATTTTGCAAGCGGAAGTGCCTATTACATGACGTGCGTGCAATGGAAATGGCCGAAATGGGGTAAGTTGAAATGGGGTAAGTGGAAATGGGGCATTTTCAGGGAGTTCGAGGAGCTTGAGGATCCCAAGGAGCGGGTAAATTAACTTTGCGGCTAGTTTGTTGCTCTGCAGCCGAGCTGGCCATGTCAGCACCTCCAGTCTCCATGTTTTCAATTTGGCAAATTGCAGCGTTGCATTTTGAACGCGACTTCATCAGTGGCTCTTAGCGGTGCTTTTGGCCGCCTTTCACCCCGTTTTAGACCCCTTGCAGGCCCCTTTTTAGCCTGGCTTTGCATTTAAGGCATTGGCAGGACAGTCACGTAGCGGCTTTATACACATATACACAAAGTCTGCCGCATTGCTGTTGCACTTTATAAGCTTTCAACGGCTGCCGCATCCCAGAGGACATTTTGCCTTTTTGGCTTAACAGTGGAAAATGCGCCCAAGGCGAAATGAGGGGCGGGATGGAAAATCCTGGTGCTGACATCAACCTAACACCCAACACCCCCCTCTCAAAGTCCTGTTCATGTTGTGGTAATTCAAAATTTACATTTCCCACATGAGCAAGGCCTCTCCGAAACATTTTCTTAGACAATACTTGTTGCATAATAATTGTTTGCATGCCTTGGTTAGTTTTGAGGGACCTTCAGCTGGATTTCCAAATAAATTTCAGTTGAAAATGAAAATTAGTTGTTTAAAGAGAACTACAATGAATGCAAAGTTTTTTTTATTTTGTTTTTCAGAGGAATGTTACTTTTGAGTTAAAATAAACTATTTAAAGAGACTCCATCGAATGGCTTGATTTTTTAAAATTTGTGTTCAGAATTGTAACACTC